CTACAGATTATGTTACCTCTGATCTACAGATTATGTTTCCTCTGATCAATGTTACTCAATCATTGTTAATGTTAAGTTACTTCTGCTCTATTGTCAGTTGGCTCACTTTGCTCTTTGCTCTCAATGCTTATATTTCGTTTTATTACGCCTGCCAGCCATTTCTCTTCATGTCATTATGGATGTTTGATTGTGGTTGTTTTTAAACTCTGAAGTTGTTGTAGCTGAAATGTGTGAAATACTTGATATTATTAGGGATGCACGATATTATCCACACGGTATCGGCTAGTTTTAGTGATAAAGTTAAATATCGGCCATTCCATCGTCTCTGCACATTTGTTTCTTTCCTTTATGTTGTCTCTTCTCTTTATGACCTCCATGTGTTGTTTTCTTGTGTTTGCTTTATTGACCTGGAGATTTCACCTCCTTCACAAACACACACTCTGAGCACGAAGCGAAGATGCTAAATCTGTGGGTGCCACTCACTGATGAGAGGCGTCGTCTCCCCGGTGGCGGGCAGCAGGTCGTTCATGATGATCAGAAAGACAGTGTAGCCCAGGATGAGGGTCATCTTGAAGGAGGAGCGGTCGGTGCTCTGCGGAGGCAGCAGGAAGCTGAAGAGGTCCACGGTGATGAGGAAGCAGCTGGGAAGCAGCAGGTTCACCACATACGGGGTCGGTCTGCGTCGTATGATGAGCTACAGAAGGCAAACAGCAAAGAAATCAAAACTTAAAGTCAGACTTGTTTTACTCATCATGTTTGACCTCTTGTGCTGAATTTCAAAGAGGCGCAGAGGGAAAACAAAACATGCATTTGGAGCATTAATTTTAATTTTAACCACAACTCTGTAATTTTCTGACAGTTTTTTAATTTTTGTTTGATGATGAGGTGAAGACTTACTCTTTCATGGATGCTGCTGAGTTATACAACACATTTTAATAAGACTATATTTTATTTTTCTTCATTACGGGCAATTAGTTTAACTTTCCTAACTTCTTTGGACTAACTTGAGGCTGTACTTTGTGTTGCTTGAGAATAAAACACAACAAATCTGTTTTACCAGCTCACTGAAAAACATGAAAGTGATCAAACTCACAAAGTATGTGATCTGAGAGTATTTCCCCACTTTTAGCTCCAGCGTGGATGAATCCACAATGATTTTTGAGAGCTCCCACTCCCCGCTGAACTCCATCTGATCTCTGGACTCCTGCAGGATCTCACCAGTCGTGTTTCCAAGAAACATCTTGATGTCCGTATCTTCAGACACAGTCATTAGCACAGTTTGGCTCATTGAACTGAAGTATTTAGTAGTGACAGAAATATGTAGAATCCAGTGAAATCTGATTAGATTGTGGTGTAATTTGAATGCAACAAGGAAAAGCAGCAACTATTGGAAAAAAAATCGAGTAATATTTTAACCTCACCAAAGTGTAGATATGATCCGAAGGTCAGCGAGCAGTTTTGGATGTCAAAGGGGAAATTGTAGATTCCTAACTGGCAGGAGCTGACCACCCTGACCGGTCTATCGTCATAAACATGACCCGTGTTGTATAGGTAGACGTAAGGAGGTTTGGGAGTCTTGTCCTCATCAACACTGGAATTAAAATGATGAAATTTTCAAACTTTCATTTACAGATTGAGAAAGTTTAATATTTCGTTCAACTTTTAGAACATTTTATGGTTCTAAATATTCACAACAAAGCACATTTGCTCTTTTCTCCAAGTTAAGCCACTAACTTAAAACAGCTGCTTTAAACTCACATCTCTGAGATCACAACATCTGGAACCCAAAGCTTCTCTCGAGGCACAGAGACTCTTGCTGTTCCGCATTTCTGCTCATCCCAGCTCAGTCCTGCGATATTCCACTCCTCCAGAACACCAAACAAAGTCGCCGTGAGGTGAAACTCGGTGCAAAATCGTTTTAACTGAGGTATTGCAGTCTGCAACACATTTGTTTCTGTCTACAAAAAATATTACCCTAAACACTGTTTTGGAAATAATACAAATATAACAATAACCTACCAGCGTTTGCCACAAGACTGTTGTCATGGTTTGTTCTTTTTCATCCTGTAAACAAGACAATAATGAAAAATTAGTCAGAGGAATTATGAAAGAATAAATATTGTCTAGGTAAAAACATTTAAAGGTGGCTAAAAAGAAATTTAACTGGAGAAATATTTTCAGCTGCTTGGTACCAGCTTTAAAATTGTTTATTGTCTCATGAAGAGCTATTTGACTTTTAAAAAATGACGTCAGTAGCTTGTACATTTATCCTTTTTGTTTTCTAATCAGTATGTTGGTGGTCTTTCTAGATCAGGGGTCTGCAACCTGCAGCTCTGGAGCCGCATGCAGCTCTTTCAAGCTTTGACCAAAACAAACTTAAAACTGAATTTTATTGGTTGTTATACAAACAACATAAAAAGGACTAGTTTTAGTGGTTTTCCTGTCATTTCTTTTGCAAATATGTGAATAATGGAACTAGTACAGCATACTCACTTTAACTTTATGCTTTATCACTTTACGTAATTGATTTTTCAACAATTAAAATATTACATAGGTCTGCATAGTTCATCTTATTTACTATTTAAATAAACTACCCCCCCCCCCCTCCCACCCCGCCCTAAGAATCCGGTCCTTTAATTTCTCTTAAATTGTAAAAATAGCAATATAAATGTTAAAAATGATTAGTTCTTTTAGCTTTATAATGTCACTCCTGGTGGCCACAAAAGCCCCCTCCTACAACGTAGGCCCATGGGCCACCAGTTGATAATCACAGTTGTTGCGGCTCTGAATATTTTTAGTTTAGTGAATGAACGTGTACAAATGACTTTTATTGTAAAGGTTGCAGACCCCTGTTCTAAACTGATTCCAAAGTTATATCTGCTTAAAGATATTTATCTTGAATTTATCTTCTCATCCAAACATAATCTGGTTACAAAAAGTGTTACTGACAACATCCAGAAGTCCAACTGAAGGTGGTAAACAACAGAATAAACAAAAAGCTCTTGTGCACACTTCTTTTTTAGAGGTGAGGTTGATAATGTGTCGAAACTCACCACTCCTAAAATCCCAAGCACAGTGATGCGGAGGGTTATGTTCAACGAATCTTCAAATCTCGCAACAGGACGAATCAGACTTTTAGAGAAAAGATCCTTCTCAAGCTCTTGAAATAAGGAGGTGGGAGTCGGGCTGCTGCAGTTCAACGCTGCTGACGAGCCTCCAAATATTCAAAATGATAAACAGAAAAATTAAATTACACAACTCCAACAAACAGTATTTAAACAAATTAATATTGATTACCAGGTCATCGTTAATAGATGGTGGGCAAATTTACCACAACTTTATAGCTGTTGTCA